ATCTCTAATCGTTTAGTTCATTGTACCAGCATATCACCTGACGAAGCTACTGTGTTAGCGAAACATGTCGTGTGTTGAGAATTTTGTGGAAATCTCATCGTTTGTGAAGTTTTTACACTAATCGATAAAATCTGATACAAAATAGAGGCTAAATAGATAGCTGTCATTCGGAAACCAGGTAAAACGACTATGATGGAATTAATGGATTATACAAATGACCGTTATTGGTAGAATAACTACAGTTATATGGGCAGTGAAAGCCCCCAATAGTCTCGAAAGACCTCGTTATAATATTTTCAGTTTTCAAAATACTGAGAATTCCGATGATATAACAAAAGATGTTACATATTTTGGATATGCCAAAATGAATAATATCCTCCTTTATGCGAATTCCTAAGTCTATCCGTATAAACGCTGAAATCAGGATTTTGACAAGAACCTAGACTCAGTAGCATATTTCGCCAGAGAAATTTCTTCTACACCGCCATGGGTGCACCGATGATGAATATCAAAGAGTTTAGAAATTACGCTCTATTCCTTATCGATTGATGCCACCAACCAAATGTTTTGAACGTTCATATCAAGCTTGAATTTTAGACTCGTGAAACTTGATTTCCTGACGATATAGGAGTCTATGCGTTCATTCTTCATGATACATGTTTGACCTATAGTGCTTCGGATTGATCGATTCAAAAATATATATTGTATCAATTCACTCATTCATATATGTATCATTCATTTTTCCATACAGCTTCATAATATTATCACTGTATAGATCAATGATTCCATTGAGAGATTTTTTTTATCGCTTGGAGCGCACGAAAGGGAATCCCTATAATGTTCAAAGAACATCGTGCGTTCCTAGGGAGGATAGGGACAGGAGGTAGGTATTGGAATTTTTTTTGAACTTTTGGAGATTATATGTTGTTGGGAATACTTCCACAGGCAATGAATTCCAGATATATGATTCGCTGAGTATTGACATCTATGACGTCATCTACATTGTCCTTATCCTGAACGTGGCAGGATAAATTACATAATATGCAAGCAAACCTAATAGCGTTACAGTATAGACAGTGTATTACTACATAATGAGAGAGATATTTGAATACTGAGTTTTGATATTCCAGACTTCGTCTACACCCCACTACCGCAACTGTTCACTATATAACCAGGATGAACCCAGATTTGAGAATACACAATGGAAGTGACTCATCTGGTGAAGACATAGGCATTGAAATAATTTTGAACAAGTTTCTTGTGAGAAAGTGGAGTATTTCTTGTGAGTGGAATATTTTTAGATACACCACCTTTCCCCTTCGCAATTCACGATTTTATTCGAAGGAATATGTTCGTAGTACGTGCAATTGTTGCAGATTTCATCAATACGATGATTAAACGTGATGCTGACGTCATTCAACAAATATCCATTCCTCTGATCGTGGACCAGCCTTATATAATTGAAAAAGTATGCTGTTGCGTGACTAAATTCAGGAAAAGGCTTCATGTATTATTATGCAATGGCCGCGATGGCGCTTATTTCAAATGTTGGCTCCCAAATTAAGCGTGTTTTGGATTATTTTTGCAGAAAAGATATGGAAATTATGAATTCAGCCAATGAGGAGGTACAGCATGACAAACATAGGTCAGAAAAAACCGGTGCAAAATTGATTCGATTCTATGGAGATTCAAAAACTCTCCGATCTAGCAGATCAATAAAAAATCAGCTCAGGATTGTGTCAAGGCGTATTTTCAAGATGTGATGGAAGCTGGATAGAAAGGGTGCTTGCATGTAATATTCGATTTCCTTGCTGTCAGTATCATTAGCAAATATAACACACATAGAGAATCTGAATCCGTAACAAGATGATGCTGATGATGACGATAGTGACAGAGGTGTAGACGAAGTCTGGAATATCAAAATTCAGTATCTGAATATCTCTCTCGTTATGTAATTATACACTGTCCATACTGTGAAACTGTTTTAGGTATTTGATTTTCTTAATGAAAGTTTGATTCATGTTTGATGTAATTCATCGTTGGTTTTCCAGGCTGTTATTTTCGCAAAATCTCCAATGACACCGTTGTCCTGCTTTCATCGTAACTTTTTAGTTTCTTGGGAAGGAATAGGAATTCTAGAAATGAAAGCAGTATGGAGAGTACTATCGTCTGCAAAGCTGTGGATAGAGCAAGTGGTTGCTCCCAATAGATCGTTGATATGAAGTGGGAACAAAGTTGGTGCCAAGATTGATCCTTGTGGAACGCCGTAATTGATGGCGATGGTATCAGACGATACGACGTTCACCACTACATGGATCGATCTGTCTGAAAGAAAACTCGATGAGAGATGGCATAGCTGAGGTGGTGAGCCGTATGATGGTAGTTTATTTGTCGAGCAGTCCTTGGTGCCAAACACGGTCGAATGCCTTCGATATATCTAGCACTACAGCCATAGATTCCCAATGTCTTTCTAATGAAGTCATATATGGGTGACGTAGGCAAGTAGATTTCCAGTTGATCTCTGGTGGCGAAAGCCATATTGTCTATCATTAATTATACCTGAGCTTTCCAGATATTTGTAGAGCTCATCGTCGATAGCTTTCACTTTGGAGATGACCGATAATAGGGCAATTGGTCTATAGTTTCTGAGTAGGCTCTTGTATCTTCAACGTTAATAAATATATCATTATTTTGGAGCATAATACAACAGATGCTGTCCAGTTCAATAACAAGCTTCAATCATGTTTTGAAATATATTTAATATTTGGTGTTTCAAGTGAATGAATGAAATGACCACATTGATTTTCCAAGATATGTAGTTTGACGAATATAATAATAATGATAATAATAATGATAATATTGGATTTCATTGACAGGTATCAGTGAGTACGAATGTATACAGAGAAACTAGAATATACTACGAACCTATCAAAAGGCAGGATACAAGTTCATGTTGCATCATGTGTGAGATGACGTTATCAGAACTTACTCTTCTATTTAACTCGGAAATGATAATGAATTTTAATTAATCTATGCACTATGCATATCGTACGGAAATACAATCTACGATGAAGAGAAAGAGATTGATGAAAAACATATCTGATAATACTAGTTCAGAAAACAAAATCAGGTAGTTAATTCGAATAAGCTATCAAACATCCAAAAATGATGAATACAACCCACAATTACCAGGAATTATCAAATGTTTGATATGTACACACTATCGATGCGAACAGTTGAAGAATGAGATTCAGGTTTTTTTGTAGTGATTCGGATTTCATTGTTCTTGTGAAATTTGAGATCGATAGCGTTTTCATCATAAAGGTCGGGAGTCGATCGTAAAGCCAAGCAATGATGTTATATGAGAAGACGCCACGATATGGTGTTGTTTCATGGGGAGGTATTGAGAAATGATTTTTGAATCTGAGATCCAGATTATAAATGTCAGTTCTATAACAAATCTGATCGTGGAGATAGGATGGAGTTTTTTCAGTGATGGTTTTGTGGAAAATGATACATGCTTGTGATACACGTCGCGCCTCCATATTCAGACATCCTGAATTTCTTAGCTGGTGAGATATAAGCTGACACCCTCAAGTATCCGTGATGAGTCTCATACATGAATTCTATGGAGTTTGTAGCCCTTTTTGTCAGCCAGAAGTAAGTTAGGACCATAAACAGTATCGACATAATTGGCATGCAATAGAACCAAAGCATTACATAGTATCTTCTTAGAATTTTGATTGAGTATTTAAATTATTCTCAAGTTGCAGTAGCTACGCTTCATTACTTGGTGAACATGAGAGGAGAATCTTAGAGATTCATTCAATATAAGGCCAAGGTTTTTTTTCGATGTGTAAAAGGCATCGGAATAAGATTTCATGAAGATTCACTGTTGAGGCAGATCAAATATAATTTTTCATGTCGACTTTCTATTGAATGAGGCAAAAACAAACCTGGGTTAGCTTAATATGACTGTACTTGGTCCAACAAAATTCTGATCGATCGACAACATACTACCCACTATAGGACGATGACAGAAATTCATCATTTATATAAAAATCATACCAACTAAACCGAACAGTTAATTCCATCCAACATAAAATCTCTTCACAATTCCACTTTATGTAAAATATCTGTTTATATCGCGAAACGATTTTATGAAGACTCACGTATGCTTTATTTGATACGACTATGACATTTTCATGAATATCAGTAATCTGACTCTGAGGAAAACTAGTCGTCATATGAACAAATAATATCGATAGCATACCTACAGTAACGAGAACACGAAATGAATTGAACCTTCTTGAAGCAACAGCCAAACAAAACATACTATGTAATACTTTATATGGAAGCACGCATTGAACTCACCGTAGTTATAAAAAAAATTGTGAGCACGAATATTGTTCCTGCCCTCAATGTCAAAATACCTTCTCCCAGTGGATACAGCATTCTTTTGGTGCTGTCAAAATCATCATGTCTTCTGTTTCAAGTCAGAAAGAGTTTTTGATCGATTGAACAGTTATTTCCGTGAATGAAGAAGTGTCAGATGCTCAGTTGAGTCGAGAGATTTTTCTCGGTGAATAAACTGATATTTTAGCCATAGAATTATTTGTTGTGAATAAGATGTGAGCATTCCAATGTCATTCTGCTGTAGGACTCAGCTCAAATTATTTATCAGCTACCCCAAAAGTATGAATACCTACCTATTATCAATCGCAACTAGGGCAAGCGATCCCTTTCGAAATGATAAAGGAAAAAACAACCATATGTTCGAATGGAGATTTGCTATTCTATTATAAAATCGTGAAGACTCTTCCTTTCCTATCTTAACCTCATAAATAATCAACTGCACAGTTATACATATAAATAACATTTCCAGAACGTTTTCCAATAACATTCACTTTGAATTCATGGAGGAGGCCATGTTGATGTTCAGGTACTTACATTTTTCAATTGTTTGGAACAGAATGAAATTTCAATAATGCTCAATTCTTGATGATAACTATCTCAATATATTTTCGTGTTACATGGTTTATGCAAGAATGGGATAACTAGCATCCTTCTCCACACCACAATTGTGGGTTGAGTCACGAATAATACGGATGTAACCTGATTCTCCAAAACCAGTGCCCCAGGAGTTTTTGACAAGCCAAAATTTCAGTCCGTTTTCGGTTCCGTATCCTACAGCAGTGACACCGTGGTCGAGTTCTAAGCCAGTGCATGCATTGTTGTTGAAAACTCCACCACCGTAATGTCTCCATGGAATAGAATTGACAGCGACTGAGATTGGTCCAATTGTACCTAGACAGAAAATAATAAGATGTTAGAACTCCATGATATAATGATTGTGAATAATCATAAAAGATTCGCGCATCATATATTCAATTCGAGAAGGTTATCAACTTATTCAAGATGTGTGTTTCCTCATCCAGCTGTGCGGAAGCTAGTATCCAAACTATCTTCTGGAATAAGAGGAGAACTTGTTCAGCTTCTATAGACGCTGAATCATAAGTTGATTATATCAATCAAAATCAAGCATCTCAATCATCTAGAACCCGAAAAGCAGTTCAAATTATTCAAATATGCCTTCTCTATCTGTCCAAATTTTGAGCTCTTGGGAATTAGATACCACAGGAAAATTGAAACAGAGTTGTCACAAAACTGAAACTGAAGAAGATGAAGAGCTGATGGAACTAGGGCACTCAATAACACTCAGGTACCTTCTTTGTGTTCATTAGTTTTGATGATTTTATATATGAACCACATAATTTTTCTAGCACTCATCTACCACCTCAATCTTGATATGGAAAACCTAGGAGTATCTCGTGTTGTTCAGATAGTTAATAGTGAAGAATATTCGTCTGAAAAGATGAGTATCAATGCCGCCGTTTTCAACATCAATTTCGGCATATTGTTTCTTCTCCATATCAATGAGTCATGAGCATCTGCCCTGTTTTCAGCTTCGCGAATACTGAGTTTGTATCTAGAATTCCTATTTCATCTCCAAAAACTAAAATGAAGAAATGAATGTGGTTGATATATAAGTTAGTATCTGAATATAAGCATTTCTGATCAGTATTTGCCAATACCTAACTCCTCTCCCAATCCTTTCTATAGAAATTTTATGGAGCCCCAAAAATTGATGAAGAGAGACCAAAATCATGAAACATTCTGCAAACGAACTACAAAATTGCCAAAAGGCTCGAAGGGAGATGAAATGCAAATCTAATGTACAGGGTGATTGGCCATAAATGTACCCCCCTCTAGCTCACCCATTTTCGAACCGATTCAAAAATTTGAGAATCAATCTGAAATGATTTTTCAGAATTTTTTTCCCGTGGGATCAGAAAATACAGGGTGCTCGGAAAAAACGATCTACAGAGTACTACTTGATTTTTTCAAATGGAACACTCTGTATTCCATTGAATTTTCAGATTCTTCCTGAAGAGCTGATTTCATCAATACATCACACTTGGGGTCTAGCGGAAATGATTACAGAGATATAGGGTCTTCAAAATCAAGATTTTCCAACTTTAGGATTTTCTGTGTCGAAACTATTCATTATTGGTCACAACGGTTTCTATTCCCCCATCACAACTTTTAATTCACTATCTACTGACATTTAATTGAAACATTGACAGGGTGGTTCAAGATTCAGAATCCTGATCACTCTGTATCTGTTCCAATTATTAAATGTCAGTAGATAGTAAATCAGAAGTTAAGATACGGACATGAGAGCCGTTTTGACCGATAATAAATAGTTCCGTCACAAAAAACCCTAAAGTTGGAAAATCTCGATTTTGAACACCCTATATCTCTGTAATCATTCCCGCTAGACCCCAAGTATGATGCATTGATCAAATCAGCTCTTCAGGGAGAATCTAAAGATACAATGAAAAATAGGGTGTTCCATTTCAAAAAATCAAATAGTACCCTGTAGATCGTTTGTTCTGAGCACCCTGTGTTTCATGATGTAGCAGAAAAAAACTTTATCAGAAATCATTCAAGATGAAATGTCAAATTTTGAAATCGATTCGAAGATAAATGAGCTAGAGGGGGGGATATTTATAGTGAATCACCCTGTACACCATTTCTTCTTCAATGATGTAGATGGAGAAGTGGAATTGAATTTGGATTTTATACTCATTGAAAAACACTTTCTCCCACTTCGAGTATCATCAGGAGTGAAATATTGAATTCTGTATATGATGTTAACAATTATGTACTATTCTATGTATGTATAACCACAGGTGAGCTGTCACCTTCACCAATTGACTTGATAGATTGTCTTCATCAATGAGTTCGCTAAGAGCAAGTGATTTTGTCTTAGAAGAATAATATAATAATGGTGAGTACTGACACCAGTTAAGGGTTCACTTATTATCAGCGACCTCAAAATACATATCGATTCGGCTAATACCAACAAGTGTCCTGATCACTTACAGCAGGTTTTGACCCAGTCTATGAGGTGTATAATTGGCCAAGTGTTTTCAGTGTATAATTGTGAGTAAGAGATATTTGAAGTAATGCGTTACTGAAGTGATAGCGAAGAGATTATGGAATATGATGGAGAAGAACATATTTATACAATATACTGCTGAAAATCTGAATATCAACTGAGAGTGCAAAATACAGATATTCAATGAATTCAAATATGAATATGAGGAATTTCAGAACAGCAGGCAGTAGAAGTTCCACTTTACGCCAGCAAAACCAGGTGGTGAAATACTACTGCATAAGAACCTATCTTCTTTTATGTTCCGGTTCCCACAATAAGGTTTATCCTGTAATGTTCAGAGAACATCGTGAGAACCAAGAGAAATAAGGTAGGAATTGGTGTTCTTTTCAGATTTTCATATGCCTCGGAAAACACCATGTGTTCCAGAGCTTCGCTGTTCGTTGGATAAACGAGTCTTTGGAAAGAGATGTTTTGCAGGTCTCCAAAGTGACCACGTAGGGGTGCGAAGCCCCAACTCGACTGGTTCATCTCGCTGGGACTGCCAATGGAGGAACAATTATTGATATTTCAGAAGAGCATCGTCCATGAGAAAATTTATAAAATAGGGCCAGATCGCCAACTTGTCTAAGGTGTTCCAGAGGAGTGAGTGAGTTTGTGAGCGAGGCATCACCCACGAGACGAATTCCCCTTTTTTGGACAGAATCCAATAGTTGCAGTGTATGTTTGGGTGCTACACTCCAAATATGGAAACAGTATCCCAGGACAGGTCGTATCTGTGCCTCATAGGTCATGAGCAGCTGACTGGAAGTGAAATAGCTCCAGGCCCGAAACAGAAAACCAAGTTTTTGGGATGCACTTTTAGCAATTGATTGAGCTTTTGTTGGGCGCAGTATGATCGGCTTTCCTAGAGAAAAGGCATGCTTGTGTTTTGTTCGCATTGAAATCTACCAAGTTATTGGATCCCCATTCTATAATTGTTGCCAAGTCCATATTTATGTTGTCAACACTTCTTCCTAGTTCATTTCTGATTTGCCTGGCTGGTTTTGAAGCCCTGGAAGAGGAGGCTGTATGGAGGGTAATATCATCCGCGAAGCTGTGTACTTGTCATGAAGTTGCTTACGCCCTTGATACTCAAATAACTATTATAAGCATTCTCCACTTACCAACAGCCTCTTTCAGGCTTTCCTCTGTAGCAGGGACTGTTTTGTATCCGGTCAATTCTACAATGCCTTTCCTTCTATCGTTTGCTTTGCATCTTTCGTCTCTCGCTGTGTACGGATAATCAGCTTCGCTCTCCAGACTATGATCTCGAATGTATTCGAATCCTCTGAGCATGTAACCGCCATCACAACCTGAGTTGTGGTATTCGTAGGTTGCACAGTCGACCAGCTGTTGTTGACTCAGGGGAATCTGAGAACCGCTTTTGATTGCTGCTTGACCTTCGACGGAAGCCACCTGGAATTTGAACCAATCAGTCAAAGTAAATTATTTCGACGTCTCCAACCCTTGAAGTGGCAGAACTTTTTTGAAAACCGAAAATATAGATGTCTCAGAAAGAAACAGATCAAATCGAATAATTCATTCATTCGGATAATTCATTAACCCTCTTTGAATTTGGAGCTTCATTCAGTATACAGGGTGATTCACATAAGAACCGACATAGAGCAGGGGCATGTAGGGGGTCCCAAAATATGGCAATTTAACGCCACTTACCTCTACCAAGTTGCTTTCCTGAGGAGATATAGGCTTTGAAAGTGAAGTTATAAATTTTGAAAAAAATCAATATCTCTGTTATTCTTGAACTCAAAGCAACCAAATTTGGTACACTTTGTAAATGTATTCAGGGCGTTACTTGATAGTAACTAGATTTCAATTGAAATTTGTAAGGAGGGTATACCGGGTGGCGCACCATTAATATTCAACATAATTTTGTTAACCCTTGATGGATTTCGAAAATCTTTGCTTTGTTTTATGGGCAATTCAATTCTTAAACTTTTGCTACTCCAGTAATTTTCATCAAAAACTCGAATAACTGAAAACGCGCTCTAGGTGTGTTATTTAAAATCATCGAAAATTCAAAAGTTGGCTATGAAAATAAACGTCAAACTTGACAATGAGGCAAGTGAGTTGTTCAATTGAGTAATTGTTGTTTGAGTGTTTCCAAAATGAACAGGAATTTTCCTTTTAACGAGCAAGTTGACATGCTGTTAGTGCTATGCCTATAACTCCTTAGGGAAGCAACTTGGTATAGAGGTAAGTTGCGTTGAATTGCCATATTTTGGGACTCCCTACATGCCCGTGCCCTATGTCGGTTGTTATGTGAATCACCCTGTATATACAGAAATTGAAATTATTTTCTCGTTGTTGAAAAGAAATATATAAAAAAACATACGAACATATTTGAAAATATCCTGAGTGAAGCAATGCTCATAGCATGGCATGCATAAAGCAACATTACATAGTTTTGGCAATAACAACTTTACCGATATAGTTTTTTTTAATGGCAGATAGGATGTCACTATAGTGGTTGATGAGACTCATGAAAGAACAAACCGGGTTTCACTCAGAAATGATGAAAATATGTATTTCAAGGTTTCACTCCTGAATTTGTCAAAATTTCAACATGCAAAATGAAAAGATATCAACGGATACATAGTAGAAGAACTCAGCGATATATTTTTTCACTACACCAGCTGTCACAATGTGAATACATGGAAAAAAATAAAAACGCATGAAAACATTCGGAAGTGGGTTGTAGTGAGGAACACTGGTAGCTCTTCATACCAACAATTTCGAAATAGAAGATTGTGGCCGGAAATATTCACGTTATGGTAGGATTAGACACCAAGGCAACTGAATGCATCGAGTAGAAGCCGTATTGATCAAATTCGCATGGATACTACTGAATAGTAAACTTCAACAACACGTGGTAGCTATAGCTTCCTCTGCCACTTGAAGAGTTGGGACGTATATTCCACTACGCAAGTACCTCTTTGAGACGTACGCTTAAGAACTCAGAGACTTCCTGAAGACGTACATTTTCCAATGAACTGTGCGTCGTTTTCAGGTCTTTCAGGTCCATGTCCATTCAATTGATCTTACAAAATACAAAAGAAGTTGGCAACTAGTGCAGCCATAAGGGAAACAAAAGACGACATCAACCGGTAGACTCTAGCGTTCACCTCATCCAATAACTAACCTAGCTGTAGCTCTGTTTGTTTCATTTATTGCATCACCAGCTTTTATTTAGTCTCACTTGTCCTGGTGTCTGTTTGTGATCAAATCTCGCAAATAAAATCTAACCCACTTTCAATCGTCCGATTGATTTGAAATTTGTAATTTCGGTGAGAATTTGCTGTGACAATATTTTGAATGAATGAAACAAAATGGCGTATCCAATATGGCGGGGAATTTTTGTTATTTCCATCAGATTCGAATCGAAATTGAATCCTAGGGGTCTTCGGGGTTGTAGATTATGATTATTCTGTCCAAATTGAAGAAATCAAGATGACAGCTGCAATATAACAGACGATAGTTCACTGAAAATGGTCTGATTCATTTCAAAACTGGTATCTGATGATTCTTAGAATCAGAGATTATGACTTCCTTTGGTTGGAAAAGAAGAGTTCAAGATGATGAGCGAGTTTTGTGATTACAGTCCGATTTTATCCAGAATTGGTAACTGGGGTTTCTGGGGTCGAAGAATATGAAGAATATGATTCATTTGAACAATCAAATGAGCAGGAGTTCAGTTAATTACAAAAGAGGTCCTCTTAATATACTCACGGTACTGAATGCCCAGCAACTTCCACATTGTCCTTGATCTCTAATAGGAAGAACAGCTCCCTTCGTCCTCCAGTCGATGGATTCTGGGGCAGCTCCCACTGTCAAATTGGCTACCTCCAAACCCTCCAAGCTGGGCTTTGAGGCCTTGTTTTTCAGCAGCATGGCTTTGAACTCTTCGTCTGTCATGTCGGAGAACTGGTTGATGGCTAGGTAGTAGGTGGACTCGCCATTTTCGTATTTGACATTGTGTTCAGCGATTTGACGGAGGGTATCTTGGAAGATGTTGTAGCGAAGTTTTTCTTCTCTCAGGCTCTTGTAGGTTTTTCCATGCGTTTTCTATCAGAGACGAATATTTTATGAATTTCATAGAGTCATTTCTATCATGGTATCCCAGAAAGCACTGGATATTCCTAGAATATTCTCTAAATATGCTAAAAGGGAAGAATATATTCCGAATATCCTTCGAATATTCTCAGAATATATACGTGCCTCTGGAACATTCAAGGAATATTCAAATGTGAATATTCTAGTAATATTCCAAAATGAATATACAGGGAATATTCCAAAAGGAATATTCTGAAGTGAATATTCCTAAAATATTCCAGTTGGATAGTGCAGGGAATATTCAGGTATGAATATTCCAGGAATATTCTCAATTGAATATTCTGTTCCTGTATATTCATGGAATATTTCAATAATATTCCCATGTGTTTCAATGAAATTGTAAAGTATGAAAATTAACCAATCACAATTTTATAGATGTGAGTATTAAACATTGATTTTGAAATCTGTGGTAGAAAGTAGGTACTCAATCAGATCATCGTACATGTTGAGAGCCTATATGGAACTGGAAGTGTTTATGGTTCCCTTCTGAACAACGCAATTCAATAAATTGTTATGTACATTATTATTCAACTCGATTACTGGCCAAGTGGTTAAGGCGTTGATCTGACGAGTTCGAGCCCATCTTGGGTCAGCTTTTTTAATCATGAATATGTATTACGGAATATTCCCGGAATATTCATTTATTTATATTCCTGTATTATTCCAGGAATATTCCGAATATTATCTGAATATTCCTAGAATATTATAGGTACATTCTGAATATATAGGGAATATTCCTTGTGTAATATTCCGGGAATATACAAAATTTTTCTCACCAGCACATTCAGGGAATATTCCATAGTTGATATGTATATCCTTGGCATGTTCATGAATATTCGCAATATCCAAAAAGAATATTCTATGAATATTCATGGAATATCTGGTGCTGTCTGGGATGATGGGTTATAATGATCTTTGATTTGCCTAATATGTTATCAACTTCAAATCGATACTTCTCTTCGAATAGAAACTGGATTTACTATTGATATGCAAGATCGAAATACTCAGATTGATATTTTGTGTTTCGAATTGGAACTGAATAATTTTGAATTGATCGACCACGTGCGAACTGAAAATTAGACAATTAAATTATCGAAATCAATTCAATAAGATCATCGAGATTTTCCTAATTTTTTAATGATAATAAAACACCTAATCTAACGTGAGATTGATGAAACCACATGTCCATTATCTTACATTCTCATATTGTTTGATTATTTCTGCTTTACATATAGTGATAAATTCTGATATGATTGTACTCCATACGTCGAAGATTATTCCTCGATTATATTTCTATTGTTTGATATTGATTTTGATGATTGTTATCATTGAATTCCAAATCGAGATCGATCATCCTCATTTCGAATATATTCATTTCGGATTTGAAGATAAGATTCTCACTTCAAAGTTGGAAGGGTAAAGTTTGATAGATCTCATTTGGTTTGGGTCCAATTGAAACAATAATTGGTGATTTCAGTGGCTGGCGAATCAGGAAGCCATTTTTTCGATATGTCGATATGTTTGGTTAAAGATGTTTGATTTGCACGTGCTTCAAGACCTCAATATCCACTCATTTTTAACAATTGTATATGACTACTTTCATAAACAATTGTTGAGAATCATCCTGAATTGTGAAATGAAGTGCATTCTAAAGATAAAGTTTTGCCAAGATTTTCCAGGAATGATCGGAAAATCCCGCTGACATCAATTTCGTAGTTAAACAGGCCGTCGTGGATCGAATGAAACTTCAAGGTCGCTTCGACCTATAGTTTTCGAGATATCAACGATCAAATTGAGCTTGAATAACAGCAATTCACTCATTCCAATTGATTGAAACAATTGATGAAGTTATTGTTAGAGAATTCGGATGTTTTTTCACATATTTTCGTTTTACGAATCAGTCTTCTCGAGTATTTTCAGAAGTTTGAACCAAGAATTGGGAAATTTCATTTCTGAACTTGCGAAATGAATCGAGAATACTTCGATAGATTCTCAGATACTAATAATTTATAGGAACAAAAAATCGCTGGAATATCTTAGTTTCAGGCCTTTCTAAATCAATTGAGACCTCGAACCAGGTCGTTAGGACATACAGTTTTTGATATATTGACGATCAACGTGTGTTGAAATACAAAAATTGACCTTTTTTTCGATTAATTGACACATCAACAAGTTCTAGTGAAACGAATCGGATATCTGTTCACATATTTTCGTTCAACAGTTTCGAATCAGAATTCAATTTTGAACTCACGAAATGAATCCAGAATGCTTTGATAGACGATTTTCAGTTGCCAATAATTTCCAGAAAGAAGCGGAAAATTCCGCAAGTAAGTATCTCAATTTTCAGTGAAACATATATTTTGAATTTATATTTCTTTGTTGCAGCACGCAGCAAAGTTCAAGAGAGTTGAATTGATCATGACCCGAAAAAGTGTATCAGCCTGTGTGTAATCAGAATCACCCTGAATATTGAGTTCTCCAAAATAGGTTAACCACATTTCGAGTCATTATATGGAAAGCTGTAGGAGGAAACTGAGGAAATTTCAAAAAATGCCAAACTTTGACTCCCTGTATATCGGAATTGAATCTTCCACCGTTATGATATGCTCACATGATATGTGTTCTTTAAGTCGTTGAAGTGCTGATACAACAAAGTGACTCACCCTGCATTTTCAATATGAACCCCCGACGATATTGATCGTTAATTTTTTCTACTACTTTCCCAGGAAACTTCATTTTCATCCCCTGAAGAAAGGAGAAGAAGGTAGGTACTCTTCTTCCCTCGCTCTCCCGATTTAACAAGATGAAGAATAATTGAAATCAATTTTGCTTCTTCAGCGAGATCTCTTGACAGGTCATATTCGCTGGAACTCATGTTTATTTTAAGGAGGAGAACAAAGCTATGAACTCAAACTCTTGTATAGTCGCATATAGTTCCAAAACTCTCTGCAGTTGTTCTCATGAGTATGCACGCATAATAATTTTCAGGACATTGTGAAAAGAAAAACACCGAAGGTTGTAGTGAAAATATATAGATACCTCTAGAGGAAAACATTATTTCCCTCTTCCGGTATGTGGACAACTATTATTTACGCCCAATCGTTAGTATTAATCTTGTTGTCAAGAATAATACCATGAAAACAATATGAACCAAATCAAAAGTGTCAAACGCGTGGGGTTTGTGTATTAGTATTGAGATCGATGAGGAAAAAATTTCTTGAAAATATGGAATGGAAATTAACTAGTCATGACTGATGTATACCCGCATTATTGGCTATTATATTCTCTGAATGCTACTATAATAATGATATGAATATCCCCGAGGTATAATCTATTTAGAATCATAATTGAGTAAGCTCTCTGGCCAAAATCTTTTGGATATTTCACTTGGAAGTAATAACTCCTGGAAGTCTATACTGGTATACTCTTCATTTCAAGAATGATTTTCTTACTTTGAAATCAGCCCACAACTCCTGATCAGAAGCAGCGTTGATAGCAACGATGACGGCAGCGAAAGCGATGATTAGCTTCATTCTGATCTTTCTGTAAACAATTCACAAATGAGTAAATCATAATCATTCAAATGTAGAGAATTCACAAACGGTGAGATTTTCACAAAATTCTCAAACACACGACAAGTTTCGCTAACACAGTAGCTTCGTCCGGTGATATACTGGTACAATGAACTAAACTAACGTTGGCTTGCTCAACTTTTATATATCCTACTTTTCCAACCTGAAGGATTAGTTACCTGTGAACAGGTACGATAAACCTCCATTTTCGAAAATTAGGCACAACTTCTACATTAAAATACGGTATCAGATTAACTTGAAAGAGTTGATAGCAAATACATATTATTGCTTAATAAGAAAACAAATTCAGCAGTGGTGAACTATTGAGGTATTATTGATCATTGAGTGAAATGTCAAAATTTTTGAGTTTGTTGGTTTCTAATGATTCAAAATGATTGAGTTTCAGTCCTTTATTTTCAACGTGTAGAATTTCGAAATTATCAAAACTATGGTTTTCCTCTAATATATGGTTGGCGTTATGTTGAATTTGTTTTCTTTTTCATGAAATTCATCTTATGTTCATGAATGCGCTGATTATACGTACGACCTGTCTGATCGATATATACCCTAGGACAAGATCCACAGTTGAGTTTGGATACTATGTATACCCCTGATTTTTCGATTTTAGAAGTTTTATCTTCATCAATCTAGATAAACCATCCCAACGTGTTATTTGTTTTATAATTTCTCAGTTGATGATCCGAAATAGGTTAGAGTTCTACAGGGTGTCCTTAAAAGGTCTTTACAAAAAGCTACCACATATTCTTCAGACCAAAACAATTCGATACAAGCAAACTTACCTCAGTAAAAAGTTGCTTAGTTTGGGCGCTAGACGGCTCTGAAGTTGAAATTTTCTAATCGATTTTGCTTCATAACTTTGGAACGGCTCATGAGATTTTTTTCAAATTTGGTACGTTGGCATAGACTCATCGGGCAATGAAACTTATATCATAATCATAATGAATATCATTCCATGGGCGTAGAACTTGATTTTTTCAGTAAATAAACATCTAAAACTCCTACGCCAATGAAAAAAAATCAGTTTCAGTATGACATCTAGATAGCCCAAATCATTCACTACAAAAAAGGTACTCTTGATAAAATTTGATTACTCTGATGGTTTCGACAATATTTAAGTTTTAGTGATTTCGCGCATATTTAAATAATAAAACGATTGATAGATATTGCATGAAAGTTTTCCAAAATGTTCACTATTTTCGCGTGAACGAAGATTCATACGACGCAAAAAGTTGAAATCCTAATCATAATGAATATCATTCCATGGGCGTAGAACTTGCTTTTTTCAGTAAATAAACATCTAAAACTCCTACGCCAATGGAAAAAGTTATTAGTTTCAATATGAAATCTAGATTGTTCAACTCATTCACTACAAAAAAGGTACTCTTGACAAATGGTCGAATGGTTTCGACAAAATTTTAATTTCAGTGATTAAGAGCATAATCAATAATAAAACGATTAACAGATATTTCATAAAAATTGTTCAAAATGTTCACCATTTTCACGTATACAAAGATTTATACAACGCAAAAAGTTGAGATGTACTTTTTGCATAGGTTATTTCTATTGAAAATAAGTAGCACTGGTTTTTTTTTCTGAAGACTATTATTATCTGCTCGAAAACAGTGATATTCACATTCTTGGTTTCCATAGTTTCATCTGTGTTGATTTGTCGAGTTTTATTGACGTTGATTGTTGATATCGGACTTTTCTGATTTATCATGGCCGTACAATACACCAATGAAGAGTACACCGATATGTTATTGGTATTCGGATATTGTCAAGGAAATGGTCGAGAGAGTGTGAGGGTGTATTCGGCAAGGTTTCCAAATCGTCGCGTACCAAGCCACCCAACCTTTGCTGCAGTTGAGAGACGTCTTCGGGAGACCGGTCATTTTGCTCCTAGAACTGGTGATTATGGAAGACAGCGTTATGTAAGGATTCCCGAAGTCGAAGTAAAAATTTTAGACCGTATTGAAGAAAATCCAGAATTGAGTACTGGACGGATAAGTAATGAACTAGAAGTTTCTAGGAATGCCGTTCATGAAGTACTAAGAGAACAATTATTATACCCATACCACAAGACGCCAGTTCAAGATTTATTAATCCATGATTCACAAAGTCGTCTGATGTTTTGTAGGTTCATTAATTTGCAAAGAGAAATGAATCTGAACTTTGGAAAGAATATTTTGTTCACTGATGAAGCCTGTTTCACGAGAAGAGGAATAACTTATTTTCATAATGAACACGTTTATGCAATTGAAAATCCTCATTCCATTAAAATAAACCATTTTCAACACGAATTCAAAATCAACGTTTGGGCTGGAATAATAGGAAATTTTATGATTGGTCCTGTCATACTTCCACAAAGATTAACAGGAGACATGTATTTACATCATCTACGAAATACGTTGCCAAATTTGTTGGAAGATTTACCACTCCAACATCGGGTAGATATGTGGTTTATGCACGATGGAGCTCCACCACATTTTTCGGTGGATGTTAGGAATTTTTTAAACCAACAGTACCAAGACAGATGGATAGGTAGAGGTAATGATGCACCCGTGAATTGGCCACCACGTTCTCCAGACTTAACACCGATGGATTATTTTGTATGAGGGTTATCTCAAGTCTACGGTTTACAAGACCCCTGTGAATACTGTAGAACAATTATGGCAACGTATCCAACAGGCGACGAATAATCTTACAGGCGATGAAGAAGTTATGCAAAGAGTACATTTCAACTTTTTGCGTCGTATAAATCTTTGTATACGTGAAAATGGTGAACATTTTGAACAATTTTTATGAAATATCTGTTAATCGTTTTATTATTAATTATGCTCTAAATCACTAAAATTAAAATTTTGTCGAAACCATGAGAGGAATCGACTTTTGTCAAGAGTACCTTTTTTTGTAGTGAATGAGTTGAATAATTTAGATTTCATATTGAAACTGATTTTTTTCCATTGGCGTAGGAGTTTTAGATGTTTATTTCCTGAAAAAATCAAGTTCTACGCCCATGGAATGATATTCATTATGATCATGATATGAGTTTCATTGCCCGATGAGTCTATGCCAACGTACCAAATTTGAAAAAAATCTCATGAGCTGTTCAAAAGTTATGAAGCAAAATCGATTTGAAAATTTCAACTTCAGAGCCGTCTAGCGCCCAAACTAAGCAACTTTTAACTGAGGTAAGTTTGCTTGTATCGAATTGTTTTGGTCTGAAGAATATGTGGTAGCTTTTTGTAAAGACCTTTTAAGGACACCCTGTATAATTTTGATTATTATTTTTGATGGTAGGATAAACTTCTTGAATAGCTTTATGATGAAGTTTTTCTAGAAAGATACTGTATATCAAATTAACGTTGTAGCCGTTGTTGACTGCAATCTGTTCTATGATATTGAGTTCTTTATTGAAATTCACTTCCGAAAGAGGGACATTCACTAGCCTGTGTAACCTACTATCACATGCTGCAATTTTATGTAGATAAGGGTGTGTTGAATTATTATGAATAGTGATATCAGTGTGGGAGGGTTTATATAAAATTGAAATATCATGTTTATCGTCAATTTTACTTATTGTCAAATCTAAGAGATCGATTGAATTTTCTGTCTCCATTTCTATTGTGAATCTTATGTTTGGATGAATTATAGTATTTATATATTGATAGAAGGTGTCTGATTGTCTATTGGTTTCTTCAAAGAACCAATGGAATAGGTTCATCGTATCTGTTCACAGGTGAATAATCCTTCAGGTTGAGAAAGTAGGATATATAAAAGTTAAGCAAGCCAACGTTAGTTTAGTTCATTGTACCAGTATATCACCTGACGAAGCTACTGTGTTAGCGAAACATGTCGTGTGTTTGAGAATTTTGTGGGAATATTATCGTTTGTGAAGTTTTCACATTTGTCATGAATTTCCATCAAGTCAATTTGAAAAATTATAATTATTCATCTTATTCCGAAATGTAAAAAACTTCCCAAACGAATGAAATTCTCACAAAACTCTCAACAATTTGTAACAAAGTAGCTTCTTCCAAAGTGAAATATACTCGTACAATAAATTACCAGGTACTTCATCTTCTCTATTCAAAATTTCGAAATTGTCATTGAAATCCTTTTTTTGTTTCAATATAAACGTGAACTTTGAAATGTGGTTGACATGCAGTTTCAGACATTGAAGAATGAAAATATCTGGAATAACCGTTATATTTATCTGAAGTAATGAGTCAAGTCCGACAGTTTAGAGTTCTCTATAATATTATGGCAATTTCAACAAACTCTTCCGTTAGATATCACCGCCAATTTCTCTTTAATCCACCATATTCTCCAGGTGGAATGATTGATGAGTTTATTACTGCATCCCTAGTACTATCAACTGACAGATATGGTGTAATGTGCAGCATTCAGAAGTGTTGAATTACTATCGAATTAGCATTTATAAATTGGAGTGATAAAAATACCACACTCTCAGTGAATACACTTCGTATGATTGTATAATTCGAGCATTTGATGGATTATGGTTTCAATGAACTTCAAATCTTTTTATATGATTTCAGGAACGAGGTGAAAAAATTAATAGAAATGAATGCATAAATAAAGCATCAGTTTTTCAATCTTTCAGGAATGATATGACCTTCAGTTGGTGTGAAAAGAAATTTAACAGTTGTTCCTTGGGCTGACCTTCAACAATATAAAAGACAATAGATTGAAATTAATCCGAATGGTGCGGCAATCTGGATATGACATATATTTCACTATCACCTATGGTAATCAATACAGTTGAATTGGTGGAAATTACATAATAAGATTGGAAAGCTGGTCATAGTATCAAATACTTACTTCGTATTGTTTCCCTGAGAATATTCGTGGTAAATTTTACCACGAAGCAGAGTTGATTGTTTTCAACTTAGTAGTTTTACCACGATGCCTAATTACAGACGATTAGGTTGTTTCAACGTATCTATAGGGTATATTTCACTGCGAAGAAAGTTTGTCCCTTTTATTAACGGTTCTTGTGGTAAGATATACAGCAATTCTAGTAGTTTGTACCATTCTTCTTTTTGCGTGTACAATAGTGAAAACTAGTGACATTAACATATGGTTATAGCTCATTTCATTCACATGGGGATGAGGAAATTTTTCTTAAAACTAGTGATATATCATCAAATTGAATTGGTCGAGAATTAAAGAAAAGTCCACATGACTATACTTGAGTACGATAGAGATTAGCTATCTTTGAGAAATCAAGAAATCAAACATCGAACGTCTAGGTGACAAGATGTCAAGAAGACGAGTGACAGGTGAAATTGTGAAAATGAAGTATTGTTCAAACTGACATGAAATGAAAACAAATGACAAAAGTGGAAAGATTCAGTAGGGTTAAAAACAAATAATTGATAATGGAGGAACAAGGGGAAAAGAAAATTCTGGATCTTGAGCTTCAGCAAATTGAAGAATTTCATGACATCTAAGGTGAGCTGTTCTTCAAGGGAAAGAGAAATATTGAACTTCAATGAGGAGTTCATCCCAAAGATCTCTAGTAAATTTGGATTTTAGGATCAATTCCTCATTGAAAGATGATAATTCTATCTTGGGGCCCAGACGTTTGGCGCTTTATTTATTGATTTCTCAGTGACAGCTATCCTCAAGTCTACTCATGCGGATTTTTTTCAAATTCTCCACCAATTTAATTTCATGAAAACCTCCTGACGGTATCTCAGAGGGTACAGGCACCTTTCAAGATAAAAATACCTTTTAAGAGTGGAATATTTTTTTATATTCAATAACTTGATTCAATAATGTATCACAAGTTTTAAGAACAGTTTTTTCATCCTCATGTAAGTTAAATTGGCTATTACCATGTTCCTGTTACTAGTATTCACTATTATAGGACGTTATAGAACCTTGCCTGATGATAGGCGTATTATATGTCTGAAACATGTCCCCCAATCGTAACATAACTATGATCAACTATTCAATGTCGTGGATATGATTTCGAGATCTACTCTTCCTGATGTAAGCTGATATAAGCTACTCAAACAAACCACAATAAATGGGGGAAGGCGTAATTTTAAAAGTAAAGAGTTAGTGGTAGATATGTGCTAAGGGGTGGTTTGTCCAGAAGTAGATTTAATGACTAATTATTGTGCAACAAACTTTCCTATTCAAGCCAGTTTTGTCAGGACATTGATAGTGTCATCAGTTTTTGAGAAAATGCGTTTATAAATATTGAGTTGGGACAACCAGTATTAGAAAAATATCATAGTTTTGATGACCATTCCTGAATACAACACGGAGAGAAGAAAAGGAATGGAACTGGATTATTTACAACAATTTCAATTCAATCGACCAGAAAATTCTAATATCCCACATGAATAGCTCAGATCAAAACAATTGACTGCTTCCGAAATCAAAAGTGTTATATTTTATAAAAATAATGCTAGCCCAAAATGTTTATATGTTATCAAGAATCAGTATGATGAAGCATAGATCATAAAAAAAAAACATTTGATAAGATGGACTCACCTCATTCAATAAGAACAACAGATTGTAGCTAAATGACGCTTCATTCAGCAAAATTTTGGGTATTTATGTGTGCCATAATCTGGGCCGTGATCAAAATCAATTAGTGCCCACTCGAGACAATAATAGTAACGAATTGTCAAAAACTCGAGTATTTCTGTATCGTATCAATAATTTTATCAATATGATCCAGCCGATGCCAATGACGATTAGAGATTGTTATAATATAAGGGGAAGCACATTAATGATTCTATCAGAGAGATGAGCAACAACAAACATCTAATGATAATTTCAATTGTTTTCACGATTGTAGAATCAGATTCAGAAGATATGTAGATATGTCCACGTGTTGAGCAAAATATTTTCTATCGTTATTCGAATTATGGATATGAGATGTATGATTTTTTTTCCTAATTCCCAAAAATAATATACCTGATTGATTCCTGGAAAAGAATGCATGTGAATTGCGATCTCGATTCAGGCATATAGTTGATATGTCCCAATACAAAATTTGAATGCAATACCTTATATAGAGTAACTGTTATTCAATTTCAGACTTCACCTGTAATGAAATGTGGACGATTGATTCAGCTGGTGAAGTGGTCATTTGATTGAAGAAACATATAGGATACTCAAAACCGAAGTTTCTTTGTGAGTTCTGCAGAAAGACTTTCTTTATGTTCTGGTTCTCACGAAAAGGGATATCCTGTGATGTTCAGAGAACATCGTGAGAACCAAGGAAAATGAGGAAGGAATTGGCGTTCTTCTTTAATTTCTGGAGGTTATATGCTCGGTTATATGCCTCGGGAACACCGTCCTTGGCAATGTTCCAAAGCCTCGCTGTTTGTTGGATGGACGAGTCTTTGGAAAGAGGTGCTCCGCAGGTCTCCAAAGGAAGGAACAATTGTTGATATTTCAGGAGAGCATCGTTTATGTGAATATCTATATAATAGAGCTATATCGCCAACTTTTCTACAGTGTCCCAGAGAAGTGAGTGAGTATTCCAGGACAGGTCGGATCTGTGTCTCATAGATCATAAGCAGCTGACTGAGAGTGAAATAGCTCCTGGCCTGAAACAGAAAACCAAGTTTTTGAGATGCACTTTGAGCAATTGATCTCACGTGATCATCCCAAGAAAGGTTATTGCTGATAGTAATTCAAAGGTATGGTTTTTCCTGGAAAGCTTATGTTGGGCACGGTGGGATCAGCTTTTCTAGAGAAGAGGCATGCTTGTGTTTTGTTTGCATTTAATTCTACCAAGCTATTGTATCCCCATTCGACAATTGTTATCGAGTCTACATTTATGTTGTCAACATTTCTTCCTTGTTCACTTCTAATTCATTCGTCTGGCTGGTATTGGAGCCCTGGAAGAAAAGGGGATATGGAGGATACTATCATCCACGAAGCTGTGTACTGGACTTGAAATTGCTCACAACAAATCGTTGATATGGAGTAGAAAAAGTGTTAATGCTAGGATTGAACCTTGCGGAACACCAGCATTTATGATATGAGAGTCAGATGAAATTCCTTCGACCACTACATGGAGAGATCTGTCTGAGGGAAAACTAGCTAACAGAAAACGTAACTGGAGAAGCGAGCCATAAGATGGAAGCTTGGCGAGGAGTCCGTGATGCCAGACTCGATCGAATTGGAGATATCAAGTGCTACGGCTAAGATTCAACCATATTTTTGAATAAATTGCTGTCATATATGTGAGAAGTGAGCGAGCAGGTCACCAGTTGATCTCTGATGATGTAAGTCATATTGTCTGTCGTTGATAATACCTGAATGTTCCAGGTATTTCATGAGCTACATGTTGATAGCTTTCTCCATGATCTTTGGAATGATAGAGCAGTGCGATCGGTCTGTAGTTGCCAGCTAGGGTCTTTCTGCCTTTTTCAGGAACTGGTTGTACTCTTGCAATTCTCCAGTTGGACAAGAATATCCACAATTTGTAAGAGTACTTGAACAACTTGCAGAGAACAGGTGTTAGTTCGGAAGCACATTGCTTGAGAACAATCGGTGGGATTCCGTCAGAGCCACAAGCTTTGTTGGTGTTGAAACCCAATAAAATCTTCCTTATAGTACGTTGGCGAAATATGATCTCGGGCATATGACTGTCAATTGGCGTTATGTTTGGAGGTTGTTTTCCCGATGAATTCAGAGTAGAATTTTCAGCAGATAATTGCGCAAAAATTTTGACTTTCTCCTAGGCAGTTGTGGATAGTGTTCCATCTTCCTTGGTTAAAGAAGGACACGATCTGGAAGTGAAGTTTCTTCCTACAGCTTTGGCGAAGGACCAAAATGAACGGGATCTGTTACGAGTTTTGATCTTATTTTGGGTGCTATTAAATATAACACAAATAGAAGGACATGAAAAACACCCATTGAACAATAATATTCAAATTTTGACGAAATGGAATGACACTTCAGAATATCTTCATAAAAGAATAAAAATATTCAATCTTATTACAATTCTGTTGAGAAAAAATAATATCATGATAAAAACAATTTTAACTTTCATTTCATAGAATCCACAACGAAGAATCTCATTATCTGAATATTAAGTGTTTCAGTGTATTTATCCATTGAATGAATACTCCACCAGTCATATCAACCCTCAGATTTTGATATAGCATGAGTTGAAATAGCACAAATACTAAAATTCCTCTCTAAATAACCAACGCCGTATATTGTGTTGAAACTTAGTGAAGGGGTAGTTCAGCTGATTCTGAATCGACTATAGTCTATTTAATTTTCCAGAAATTGCCTGATAGTCCTCTCTCCACATTGTAGGAGAGAGCTCGTTGACTATGTTATCATATTTTTGTTTTTGGAAATCGATCAACGGAGTGCTAATTAAGAAGTCGTTGCGAGTTGAAATCTTGCACAATGTATATACGGGTGTTTGAAATAATCTGGCATCAATGAGGTAGTGTGATGCGCGAAAATTAGTCTTTCGAAATACCCCTAGACACACCAATCCTCAGTACATACCAATTTTTTTCCCAAATCACGTCCCCCTACACTTGTGGTGTATGTTTTGGAATAGCTCATTATCTTACGACCACAATAATCGATTCATTTCTTTTATTCACGCAGAAGGACTATCAATAAATGAGGTTTAGTAATGAAACATAAGAACTAGGACCTTCAAACAGAAATGGCAAAGAAAACTTGGGAGATTGAGACGGTCTTCGCATGTTTCTCTCCGAGTTTCCTTGGCATAGAGTATGCTTTGACTCTGAAGACCCTTCACAGTGTGCTGCGGGAATATCCGATATCATCATGCTCGGAATGGACACATACATACCTTATCCTTCGAAAAAAATCATCACCATCGAAATCCTGGTTCAACAAAAACTGTTCTAGAACTGTTGCCTTGAAACAAACAGCCACCATCGCTGGCGCAAAAACCCTAACCTCGCGACTAGAGCAGAATACGTTGATGCCAGGAATAACTGCAGCCAAACAATAGATGCTTCGAAAGAAACATACAATGATAAGATGAGATCGGAACTCACCATAGATTGTCCCAATGGCTCCCGTTCGTTTTGGTCCCTTGCTAAAGCGGTCGGAAGGAATTTCACCACTGTCCAAATCCGACGGCACATTAGCAACAACATCGCAGGAGAAAGCAAATATTTTTGCAGTGATGTTCGCAGCAAACTCAACTTCAGATTCCCAAGGAGGAGTGCCACCGGTTGAGAGTCGAATGCCCGAAATTGTCTTCCGTCAATGCACTATCAGACGAATTTTGCATGGTCTCAAAACGAATAAGGCTAACGGTACTGATGGAATTCCACCCATTATCCTCAAAAAATGTGCACCAGAATTAACACCGATCCTCTGCAAGTTGTTTACCATATCTCGTACAGGTCGGGTATTTTTCCATCATGCTGGAAGACAGCTAGAGTCCAACCAATCCCCAAAAAAGGGATCAAGAAACAACTACAGGCCCATTGCCCTGTTATCAGTTATAAGTGATGGAGAAAGCCATCAATATTGAGCTTATCAAATATCTGGAGAGCTCAGGAATCATCAATTTTTTCACCAACATTATTCCTTCTTTATATCAAGGATCTGTTCACAGTAACAACTTGCCCCATCCACAGCTTTGCAGATGATAGTACCCCCCATACTGCGTTCTCTTCCAGAATTTCCATTTCTTCCCAGGAAACTGAGAACTCACGGCGCAGGCAGGTCAATGCTGTCAATGAAGACCTTGTTGAAATCACAGCCTGGGGAACCTACAACCTAGTTGAATTCAACGTCACCAAAACTCAAGCCTGTATTTTCTCTCAAAACGCAGAACTCAGTATGCCCGACATTGTAATGTCTGGCACTACCATCCCCACCAAGCCCACCATATCTATGCTCGTTATTTCCATCAGAAACACTCTTTCATGGGATAACCATGTCAGATCCATCGCAAAAGCTGTATCACAAAAACTCGGATTCTTGTTCCGTGCGAAAAGTTACTTCACACCTCAACAGCTTCACATGATCTACAAAGCGCAGATACGGCCTGTTCTAGAATATTTTCTCCACATATGGGGTTCAGCACCAAAACTTACGCTGTTGCTCTTAGATTCCATCCATAGTAGAGCCATCCGCCTGGTGGGTGACGTCACACTCACCCACTCTTTGACATCATTGGAACACCGTAGAAAGGTCGGCGTCCTTTCACTTTTCTACCGATACTTCCACGGGAAATGTTTTTCGGAAATCTCTGCTATCATCCCTCCACTAGCAATACCAGTCAGACGAACTAGACAAGCCCAGTCAGCCCAAATATCGGCCAAAAACTGATTTTAGGGATCATTTGCCATTTTCCTGGGTTTTCCAGCCTTCATCTTCCGGACTAAGACTCCCTGTTGTGGAAGCAAATCACTTGTTGGACACGGCTCAATGCCTTATAGAACAATTATTAGCGTTTTCTCTCTCCTACAATGTATTGCTCTTACAACTAGATCCACAATGTTCTATTCAATAACATGATAAACAACACTAGCTGTCCGCTCCTGGTACGCACGGATG